AAATTATTTGGCAGAGAATTCGACACTTTAATGATGGTCTGGGCCTGGCTGGGGCGATGGCACGCGTGCCCACAGAGAGGGCTCTGAGTGCCACCTCTGGCACCCGTGCCATAGGTTCGCCACCACTGCCCTATCTATACCGTGTGGCTAATAGCCACTGATGGACCTCTGCTCCATATGCTTATCCAATTCCCTCTTGAAGCCGCCCATGCTTGTAGCTGCCACCACCTCCTGTGGCCGTCACTCTGTGCCCTCCTCCTCCACCCCCTCTGCCCCACTTTGGGGGATCCAGGGTTCCTGCTTCCAAAGGCTCCGTTCGACTCTTATCGGGAACTTTCTAGACAGACGTTGGCAGCTCCACCCTACAGCCTCAGGCCCTACAGGAGACTTCTCCCGGCCGCCCTCTTTAACCCCACGGAGTGCCACCCTGTAGTGAATCCACTGGTGGCCAGATTCAAACGGGACCTTGTTCTGCTCTCAGCTGCTAAAGGACTCCAAAGCGTGCTGGAGTTTGCGAGAACATAAGCTCTGGCACTTCTTCTGTTGTGGTGGGAGCTCCTGGCATTAAAGTCATGAGCGAGCGATTTGGCTGCTGCATCAATCAGTTTGCTCTGGAGCCATCCCTTCCTGAGCCAAGGCAAAAATGTGTGAGCCGGAGACTAGAAAGCGGTGAGCTAACTCACACTCACTCAGCTTAAGAGGGAACACTGCTTGCTACCCAGATCAAGTTAACTGGAGGTGCCGGGGACTGAACCTGGGACCTCCTGCATGCCAGGCAGATGCTCTGCCTCTGAGCCACGGCCTCTCTTTGCTGCTCTCCAGGGTTTCAAGTGGAGGTCTTTCCCGTCACCTCCTGCCCGGTCCTTTTAACTGGAGATGCCAGAGATTGAACCTGGGACCTCCTGCATGCCAGGCAGATGCTCTGCCTCTGAGCCACGGCCTCTCTTTGCTGCTCTCCAGGGTTTCAAGTGGAGGTCTTTCCCGTCACCTCCTGCCCGGTCCTTTTAACTGGAGATGCCAGAGATTGAACCTGGGACCTCCTGCATGCCAGGCAGATGCTCTGCCTCTGAGCCACGGCCTCTCTTTGCTGCTCTCCAGGGTTTCAAGTGGAGGTCTTTCCCGTCACCTCCTGCCCGGTCCTTTTAACTGGAGATGCCAGAGATTGAACCTGGGACCTCCTGCATGCCAGGCAGATGCTCTTCTGCTGAGCCACAGCCATCCGTACAAAGCTGCCTTCTAGGGAGTCAGACCCTCAGTCCATCCAGGTCAGCATTGCCTACTCAGGCCGGCAGCCGCTCTCCAAGGTCCCAGGCCGAGCCCCTTCACAACACCTCCTGCCTGGTGCTTTTTTAACGGGAGATGCTGTGGGGGATTGAACCCGGGGCCGTCCGCATGTCAAGCAGAGGCTCTGCCACTGAGCCACGGCCGTCCCCAAGAGCATAAGACATGAAGGACACATGGAGCGCCCTTCTGCTGACTCAGACCCTTCGCGTCCACCCAGGTCAGCGCTGTCTACTCAGGCCGGCAGCTGCTCTCCAGGACCTTAGGTAGAGGTCTTCCCCATCCCCTGACCACCTGGTCCTTTTTAACGGGAGATGCTGCTGGGGATTGAACCTGGGACCTCCTGCACGCCCAGCAGAGTGTGCCACCAACCAGGGCCCGTCCCCGAGAGCACAAGACATGAAGCGGCCTTCTGCAGAATCAGAGCCTTGGTCCAACCAGGTCAGTCTCGTCTACTCGGCTTGGCAGCGGATCTCCTTCCCCACCCTGGGACTCTGGGGCAAGTGATGCTCTGTCATCTTGGTGCTTGGGGGGGGGCACAGTGGGAGGGCTTCTAGTGTCCTGGCCCCACTGCTGGACCTCCTGATGGCCCCTGGTATTTCTGGCCCCTGTGCGACCCAGAGTGTTGGACTGGATGGGCCATTGGCCTGATCCAACATTGGTGTCTCTTCTGTTCTTACCCCATCCCCTCCCGAGTGACCCGACCACCTGGCCCTCCGACCAATGCACCCCTAAACTGTGGAGTCCTGTGAGCAAAAATCCTACTTTATGAGCTGCCGGCCTTAAAGAGTTGTGAGTGGGTGATTTGGCTGCGGCATCAGTTAGTCTTCTTCATCATCATCGGGGACACTGCCTTGGAGCTGGCGAGAGGCAGCTGGCGCCCCTCCTCTCCCAGCGGGCTCCTCCCTCCGCCAAGGGGCAGGCCGGGAAGGAGCTCGGGGGCATGTGCAAAGTGCTTTTCTGGGGGGGGGCTCCTCCGGGCCCCAGCGCCGCCCCTGCAAGACGTGTCCCTCCCCCCTCTTCCCCCGCGACGTAGCAGCAGCAGGAAGAGCAGCAGCAAGAGGAGGAGCAGCAGCGGGTGTCCCCCCTCCCACCTACCCCCCAAACGGGCGTCGCCGTCGTCGGGCGTGGGGCGTGGGTCCGGGGGCGTCTCCCTCCCTCCCTCCCTCCCGCGCGCCATGCGGCGCTGGCGGGGCTGAGCCCGGCTGCGGAGGGCGGGACTCGGCGGCGCTCGGCGCCAGCGTTGCAAGA